TTTTTTTTTGCTGAGGATCAAGAAGTCTTACTTTTGCTTTACAACCTTAAACTCAAAGATGGTTCATGTGAGGCTTCTATCTCGAGATTAGTTCATATGGAGTCTTTGGCACAAATTTACTAAGAACTTGATTTGAAATATAAATTGTAGTCTTTAAACATCTCCCTAAAAAAATTCAGGTAATGAACAGTGATTGAGTATGCATTTGACCATATCTATCAAAGTGTGATTACGCCTTTCGGAAACTTTTTTTTTTGATGTGTGTCAAGTATGGTGTATTGTTCCTTAGTGCCATATTCTTGTAGGTATAAAGCAAATGGACCAACATTTTTTCTAGTTTCTATATACCTATCATAATATCCACCCCTTCTATTAGATCTTACACATTTAATATGCTTGCCAGTTTCTAATTCAATCGTAGTGTTAAAATTTTGAAAGCATTCAAAGACTTCACTTTTCCATGCAACAGATCAACCCAACCATATCTGGAATAATCATCAATGAAAGTGATATAGTATTTGAGTCCACCTATGGCAACTGGAGAAATAGGACCACAATGTCGATGTGAATTAAATATAAAATACTTTGACTTTCTTCCTCCATTTTATTTCTAGTTTTAGCAGGGAATCTACTCTTAATACAATCAACATAATAATCAAAGTCAAAAAAATCAAAAGAATGTAACACGCCATCCTTCACCATTCTTTGAAGCCCATCTCTTAAAGAAGGAGAAGGAGAAAGAGAATTCAAATTCAAAGCATATAATCTATCAATCAACACAACTATACCAATGAAGAATGTATGAATTCATAATATATATTTGTCTTTCCATTTCCTTTCCATAAGCAATAACCAAGTTTATTTAGTATCGTATAGTCTAGTATAGTCTTGGAAGAGGGTACATAAACTATGTTGGTTTATTTAAGTGCATGTCTAGAAGGAAATTTTAAACTAACTATGCCTATGCTATCTACTAAGATGGCACCACCATCAACAGCCAAAATATGTCTCTCTCTTTCACTTGGTCTCTTCTCCCTTTTGAACCCTTACACAAAATTTGTAACATGTACCATAGATCCACATTCCAACCACCAAGAGTTAATAGTGATGTCAATAACATTGGATTCAATACAAACCAAAGATAGAGGGTCAATTATGAGATAAGTATCTCATTTCTCACATTTACTCTTATAGCAATCTTTCCTCATGTATTTAGCTCTCTTGCAAAATTTGCGTTTTCCTTTAAAGATCTTCTTGTTGGATTTCAAATTTCTTTCTTGTTTGTCATTCTTCTTTCCCTCATCTTATTGTCATGAACAAAGGTTTGAAATTTTTACCTTTTTAATGGCTGAAGTTTGGCTTCCTGTTGCTAGCCATATGATGAGTCATGTTCATTGAAGGAGAAATTTTGTTTCTCCTTTTCATAGATTCTTCTTGCTAAGTGATAATGGAAATCAATTGATCAAAAGTCCACTAAAAATTTCACCCAAATTAACCTTTCAAGATTTCAACTTGTTGTAATATTTCTTAAGGTTCATGACATGTGCACGAATACCAAAAACACCATCATAAAAGGTGTAGTTCAGCAATGATAAATACTGGCCCTTTTGGGGTTTGTCAAAAGTCATGAATTTTTGACCAACAACATTCATGTATTCAATTGGCTATTGCCTTTTTTGGGACTTCCCATCTCTGATGTTCTTGTCCATAGTACATTTTATTGCCACCAAACAAACCTTATTGGATTTGTGCCAATTGTAACAATCCATGATTTTTCAAGAGTTTAAAATGGTCCGGAAAGCTCTAGAATCTTTTAGAAGACTTCCAGGTAACTTTTAGAAGGCTAGAGGGTGCAAGACAATTTTAGAAAAATCTAAGCATCTCTAGCATGAATATTTTAATAAAGATTAAAGAGAATTCGATGAAAATATCTAGATATTTGTTATGAAATATCTTGTATAAAATTTTAGAGAATCAATGTGAACTGTAGAATTGAATTAATTTTCACCATCCATTAAAAAGGTGAGAACATTCTAGATATAAGAGAAGGTTTATAAATACCTTAACCATCCTTATTTGTAAGCATGTTTGAATTCCAAAAGCTATATAAGTCTCATATTCCCACAATTCTCTCAATCATTCTTTGCTCTTTAGATTTTCATTTTTCAACTTGGTCAAGCATCCACTTTCTTAACAAATTAAGTTTATTTAGCATCTTTTAGTGAAAAAAATTTGAGTGCCATGCGGGTTGAAAAATTAGCCTTATGATACAATGCTCATAATGGGCTCTTTAAGTAATAGTGGATCTTCCATCCAACTCAGCAGGAACATTAGATATGAGAGCCAGATCAATTTGACAAAGAACTAAATGCATGCACACCAACTCTTTCCATTCTTCAAAATTTGTGCTATTTAGATTTTTAACAGAGGACAATTGTATAGGGGCTGAAGCTGGTGTAAACTAAGACTAGGAAACATTAATTATATGTGCATCATAATTATAACAAGAGTTTCCTTAAATCCAACTTACACAATTGTACTTAAGTTATCATAATTTTGCTCAAAGGTCTCAAATTACAATGAATTGAGTAAACTCATGCACCACCAATTTATCCCAATAACAAAATACTTTAATTCCTTTATATGGATGGGGCATGGGTAAGTGTTGAGATATTAATTTTAATATATATGAATATAGAATAACAAGTGACACTAATGCTACACTGAAAGGGCTTATCCATTATTAATGTAATTTCATAACCAAAAGATTATACAAGGATGCCAAAGTGCATAAGAGAATTACTCTCTTTGTTAAAAAAATATAGTGCATTTTTAATTAAATTTTATCCTTCAATAAAGTAATTATTTATTTTCAAACTAACTGTTTTTTTTTATATTTATCCTTATAAATAGTCTAAAATAAATATAAAGCTATTTATTCAATAGGGGTATTTTTAAAAAAAGCAATGATTACACTATTTTAGACTAAAAATACTTTACATTTTTTAAAATTTAATTTTTAAAAAGATGTTTTATATTTTCTAACGAAGAGAATACAAAATAATGATGTAACCATGTATATTATAAGAGTTTGAGAATTTATTAAAACATCTACACACATAACTATGGAGAGTGACTCTTCACCAAAGTCAAAAATATTATTCATATTATGCATCAATTTTTCTAGCTCAAAAATATTAAATATAGTATAATTTTACATTGTATAAATTCTAGAAGAAGCATACTCTCTTTGTTTAAAAATATAAAGAATTTTTTAAGGAGTCGGATATTCAAAAATGTAAGGTATTTTTAATATTTTTGAAGTATAATTATTGTTTTTTTTTAAAGTGTTCTTATTTATGGTGACTTTATATTTATTATTGGATAATTAATAGGGGTAATTATAAAAAGATAAGATTAGTTTGAAAGTAAGTAAGAATTTTATTGGAGGATGAAATTGGTTAAAAATGTCTTATATTTTTAAACGGGGGGAATAATAAATATTTACAGGCTTTAAAAAATTTTGGAAAAATCACCATTAAAAAGAGAATAAAAAATTGAGTGGGATAGGCCCAAAAACCGGGCAAAACGGAGCTGGCACATGGGTCCACGTGCTGGGGCCCGGGAGTGGGCTTTGCTGGAGCAAGGTTGAAGACCATCCATGGCATATGGGGCTCAAACCAGCGTCGGAAGAGTTCAAAAAAAGACACGAGTTTGGACCATTGGACACTGGAAAAACAATCTAAAAGCTTTCCAAAAATAGGATTCAATTTTTAAATGAGAGAAATCATACATGCAAACACCAAAACGAAGATCTGAAAATTTTTGAAACTTTGGGTCCAGATTTGAACAATGCAGCCAACAAAAAAATAATAATAATCTAAGACTACCGAGAGGTTGACAATGCTTCAAAAAACAACATGCATGTAAAGATAGAAACATGCAAGCTCAAAATATGAAAAACACATATTCAACTTTGAAACATCTAGATCAAATTTCTAACACTACTGAGGGTTTTATCAAGCATTTAATATACCTAAATGATGCTTGTGAAGAGAGGAACAAAACATAGTGATTCATTTTCAGAAACAAGCCAAAAAAATTTGTTGGTCAGAATCAAAATGCATGCGATTTTAACCAGCTCTGAGATCATTTGAAACAAAAATAATGCTAGAAATGGATTAGGATAATTACCTGGTAACATGTTGCGGTTGATGAAACCTCTAGATTCAGTGTTTGATAAAGTGAGAACGTACTAGTTAAGAGGGAGTATTTAGCTTAAGGAGAGAAGCAACCCACATGAAGCACACTGAAAAGCAAACATACACTTGCTGGGCAAAAGCAATGTATATATATGTATATGTGTATATAAATTGCTTGTCACAAAACCCAATGATGAGAATGCCCCCATAGGTTTGAATAGGATCACTAATAATATATATGCTTTGTGAGTTGGAGTCTCTTCCCCGCATACTTAAATTGAATATCCCAACCTATTATGTTTTATTCAGTGAGACTTAATCCATTTTAAAATATTGCTTAATATAACATAAAGATTACTTAATATTTACAATAATATATTGGTTAGAATTTGTAATTGATGAAGCAAATCCACAAATATTCCAACTTCATGTTATTCTCACTGTTCTATGCGTTCTTCAGGTAGACTCATGGCTTGTAGAATTCCTTTTGGGAATTGATTCTTCCCGGTGCACTGTACTGCTGCCTGAATTATCGCAATTTTTTGTGTGTTGTTCTGGTGCTGTATTTCCTATCACGAAATCTACAAAGTATTGTGTTTACATTTCATGGAAAACTGAAACCAAAATTATTTGCTACATGTAACGCCTAGATTTCTTTGCTTCTGTTGCTGAATAGTCCATGCATTAGTGGGGATACCAATATCTTTGATTACATTAGAAACATGGACAGTTAACCAAATTTAGTGAAACTATGTACATGAATCGCGCCCTGTGATAATTTTGTCTTTCATTTGATAGTTGATGGTTCCGGATCATCCGAGGATGACAGTAGGGAAGAGAGAGAAGAAAATGAGTGTAAGAGAGACACTGAAGGTCGAGAGCTGAAGGACAAACTTCTTCGTCGATATAGTGGATATATTATTGGTCTAAAGCATGAGTTTTCAAAAAAAAAGAAGAAAGAAAAGCTACCCAAAGAAGCGAGACAAATTTTACTTGCATGGTGGAATATTCACTTCAAGTGGCCATACCCAACGGTAAGCAACTCGCTGCTACTTCAATAAGCATTACGTTAACTTGTTAAGGGTCATGGTTTGGTAGACAAATTGTGAGCTTGCTTACCCATCATCGATTACGATTCTAAAATCTAACACATGGCTCTTGATGGACCAGGAAGCGGATAAGGTTGCATTAGCTGAATGGACAGGTCTGGATCACAAGCAGATCAACAATTGGTTTATCAACCAAAGGAAGCGACACTGGAAGCCAACGGAGGAAATGCAAGCTGCTGTTTTTGACGGCCTCTATGGACCTTTTTCCACGAGTGATTGAGGTTGTATCTCCTCACCATTGACTTTCTCTCTTGTATATATGGTCTGTTGTATCTGACCTGAAACTTTATTATCCCTGGCGGAATATCACTGATGAATTTCCTTTCCACTTCTCTAATAGTTGTATAATATAGCTCCCGCGGTTTGGTTGTATGGTAATAATTGCTATTGACGTTATTTGAACGGTTTGTGTGATTCCTGCATCGACACTGCATATAGCAATTGCTGCTATTAATCAGAATGGATTGCAATTCTATCTGCTTATATTTTTTTGTTTTTTTTTTCCCAACTCATTTTTTTTTTTTTTGAGTTGGTGATATCTTTTTGAGGTTGTCTTGATTATTTCTAAGTTAGAATTATGATAGACGCACACATAGCGTGTCCTCATCACATTCTTGATAATTTAATAACAATTATATGTGTGAAGATGGATTGCTAACATGGAACTAACCCAAAAGGAATCATGGGCTAGCATCAGTTTAATGGGTCTAATAAGTAACTCTTTCATTAATTAAACCAGTTAAAATCTAGCTCCTTATGGTCCAACTCATGTTTATAGTGAGTGCATGTATTGTAACGCCTTACATTATTTTAACATTAACTTGAAAAAAATATGTAATTAAGATCCAAAACATCAAACTATTTGCAAATTTGACCTATATATTGAAGCTCAAAACAATAGAAAACAAGTTCATGAAGTATTTGAAACTCTAAAAGATTGTCAAAACATGTGAAAATAGTGAAACAAGGTTAAAATGGGGTTTCTGGCATGTAGGTCGTGGCTTGCGGCTCATGTTTTGTGGCCTACAGGCTACAACATAGAGTAAGAAGTTCCTCATCTATTTCATGTGTCTCAGCCTGTCAAATGTGTGCGTCACGGTGCCTGGTACTGTGACAACATTTTGCACAGAGCCATATCAAACAGCAAAACACAACTAAGATTTTTTAATATGGGGATGTGAAAAATCTAACTAATGATTTTAGTATATCGAATACTCAGGAACAAAAACAGTAAAATTTCCACTTTAAATATCATACAAGGTCCCCAAAATATAAATCGAATTTCCACTTTAAACATCGCATTAGGTCCCCAAAACATAAATCGAAGCCATTAACGCTTGGTGGACCTTGGTGTTCAAACCACATTCAAAACACTAAACGTGGCATGTACAATAGGTGAAATTGTGACTACTACTCAAACAGATGAATTTCCATGCAATTCAAAAACTCAAAATACGTATATTTTTGTGGTCATGGTAACCTTAAAAGTAGTTGAGCACACAAATCCATACACAAATGTATAATGAGGTTAAGGTTCAATTTTTATGTTTATACCTTTTTTTTAGAAGCATTGGGCATTCTGTACTCTTAAATAGGGGCAAATTTTCTTTTGAATTATTTTTTAAGGGAGCAAAAATTCTCTTTCATCAATTGGCCATTTATTCTGCTGGTATATGGTGAGTTGTCATTGCATGGGGCTCGAGAAAAGCTAATTTGGCATGATCAAACCCTCTTTTGACTAAACAGTTGGAATATTTTAAAAATAAAAAAATGAAAAATTGCTTTTAAACCTTCTTCTTCCTGTGCTCTTATTTGATTTCATTTAAAGTAGTCCCCCCTTTTCCACTTCTTCATCTTCTTCGTCTTCTACTTCCTTTGTCCAAGAACCCATGACCCATTTCTTTTCCAAATTCATTAAACATATCAAGCACTATCGAACATTCGTAGTCGTTCTCCACTGAAAGTCGCTACCATCGATGTGTTGCTCAATATCAGCAATTTGCATTCGATTACAAGATCAAGTTTGAGATCATTGGTGGGAACTACTTGTTCATCTGATATCTATATGTAGCTTCCTCTAATCTCTATGGGTTCACAAATCGATTTTCTTTCATCACATATCTATGGCTTCCTCAAAGCTCTGTTTAAGCTTTTTCCTTGTTCTATGGTTCCCATCGTTGATCTATGGCTTTTGGTTCATGGTGTTCACTGAGTTTTCATGATTTTGTGATGATGTTTTATATGTTTACTAGAGCCTAGAGATGAACAAACATTATCTGGTTTTTGGGTTTGTGAGATTGTTCTTAATTTTTTTATCTGTAGCTATAATCTAGATTTGTGAGATTTTTCTTAGATTTTTGCTTGAGATTTGGATCTTGGATGGAACAGGAGTGGAGATATGAGTTGGGGAGAGAATAGAGAGAGAGATGAATCTAGTAAATGGATGGAGCTTGGAGTATTTTTCTGGGCAAGGAAGCTGAATTGGAATTTGGGTGGTGCCCACATCTTACACATCATCTCATAACAGGAGAATAAACGGCCAGTCAATGAAAGGGGGTTTTTGCTTTCTTAAAAAATAGTTCAAGGGAAAATTTGTCCCATTTAAGAGTATAAGATGTTCAACACTCTTGAAAAAAAAAGTATAAAGACCAAATTAGACCTTAGCCCTATATAATTTCAGATAGCATAGTGATATATGCTAAATTAAGTAGTCTAACATGTTTGAATGCACCATAATGACCTACAATGGAAATATACATTCAAAAACATGTGTAACATGAAAAGGGTGTAGCGATTCCATGCCACATTAGGTTTTTTGGGGCTTCTTCTTGAGCTCCTAGTAACCCTCTCCTAAAAAATGTTTATAACAAGGAAAAAGGCTAGAAGTCCCATTGAATATAGTCAATTTACAACAATGCATGCATATTAACATTTATTAGGTAGTAAAGTGGAATTAACAAAACAAATAAAGAGTTGAGACTTTCTAAATACATAATGACACGTATGAGGTAAAAACATAAAATTGACAAATGAACCTGCATCATGCATTTGTAATTAATATTTAAGTCAATGACAAAGACAAGAGGGAGCAGGGGAGCCATGGCCCCCTCAATTTTTTTTCTTAATAAACTGTTAGAGCGATATATTTTTAACCCCTAAATATATTTGATACTAGTAAAATTTAACTTTACCTAAATTTAAATAATTAATCACTTATTCAAAAGCTAAGATTTTATAGTTGGGATGGGATGATCTTCTAGAAATGTAACTTCTTTTTGTAACAACCAAACTATTGAAATTCTTGATATGAATTATGTTTTACTTTGATAAAATTTGGTGTGATTGACACAAAATTTAATTGACAATTGAGCATTATTATTGTGTTTATATACTTAATTTGTCATAAATTATCAATTGAAAAAACTAAATAATAGATTAAGTGAGTAAGTAACAAAGTTTTGTAAAGTGAGCACAGCTTTAAATCCTTATGATGCATTTAAATCATTTAATGTTAAGACCATTTCCAATCTTGTTGAGAAAAAAAATTTACTCTTCATATTTTTCTGACCAAGAAAACAATGGATTGGAATATAAACATATGAGCTTGATGCTCAAATATCCTAATAATTTTCATAACTTAACTATTATGGGTGAAATATATCTATTGTTTGCAGAGGTTGGAAAATCTAATTTTTATCCTTTCATTGACATATTAGTAAGACTTATACTAATTCATTTAGTGTCAACGGCAACCAGTGAACAACTTTTTTAGCCATCAACATTATAGAAACAAGATTTTGTAACAAATTGGAAAATAAAATTTTTACTAATTTATTGATAATATTGAGAAGTTAATTGCTATAAAGTTTATTTCAATCATGATAATTAATGATGTTTAGGTCATAGTTTAACTATCAAAACGTTAAAAAAAAAATGAAAGTTCATGTTTTTTTAGTTGTGTGTTTGTAAAATTGACTTTGAATATGTTAAAATATTTATATTATATATATATATATGGTTTGTAATTTAGACTCAAAATTAAAAATCCTAACTCTGCTTTTGGTTGGAGAGAATTTTATTAATAAAATGAAATTCAAATTAAAACCCCAAACAAAATAATCTATTGACAATGGAAATAAGGATGATCATTAAAATTAGGGTTAAATGATAATTTAAACTTTAAACTATAGACCCGTAGACGATTAAACCCTGAACTTTTATTTAATATATTTTAAATTTTGAATAATTAAATTTTCAACAATCTTGCTATCACCATTAATTATTAACATATATCACTTTTAGCACAATGAGGCAATCATTTTCTATTATCACTTACTCTCTCACTCTGTCTTACTCTCACTCTTTGTCTTCTCCTCCTCTCTCACACTTCGTAGATGTCTGAAATCCACATAAAGTGCAATGGTGCAAACATTAAATATCTTCCTGAATTTGACATGGACACCATCACCACCACACCAGTCAAGCCACACTAGTCAAGAAGAGGGTTCTTGCTGGCTAATAAAGCACCTGGACAACTCACTTCTATTATCGTCCTCCAATCTTACTTCAATGACGTCTTCTCCATCACTCTTTTTGCATTTTCAATTTCCCATAAACTATGCCACTATTAGAAAAATGAAATTTAGCGAGGACAAATCTCTTACTAAATGCCATTTTTCCTCACTAAATTGTGTTTTAGTAAAAGATTTTACTCCTCGCTAAATTCATAGCTAAAAAAAGGATCACTAAATTTAGCAAAAGATCATATTTTCCTTGCTAATTAGCAAGGAATTCAGTCCCTAATTAATTTTTAGCGAGGGCCACATCCTTCACTATTCCTTCAATAATACTATTTAAAATTTAATAATAATCCTTCGCTAAATAAGCTTATATTTAAAAATAATGATACCATATTATCCATCATGTGTGCATCAACTTGTGATATGTCTTCAACAACGTTGTGTCTCGTCAATTGTAATATTTTAATTTAATTTTTAGAGTTAATTAGAATTAATAAAAAATAGAAAGAATGTTTAAAGATAGATAAATTAATTAGGAAATTTTTTTAGTTTAACTGCGAATATAATTTTATGTTAGGATGCATTTTTAGAAAATGAAATTAAAAAAAAGGTTAAGACTTGTTAACTTAAATGTTAAATAATAATAATAATAATAATAATAATAATAATAATAATAATAATAATAATGAATGAGGAGGAAAGGTGGTGTGAGGAGTATATAAAAGTGCTCATTTTTGCTTTTTTTTCGTAGAAACTCATGCACAAAAGAGGAAGAGAGAAAGGGAGACAGATAGAGAGAAGGAGAAGGAAATGAGGAAGGATAAGGGTTTGAGAAGATTTTGAAGTAAGATCTCCTATTCAAAACTATTCCAATTCTTTAAACTCCTTTTATAAATATTTTTCTCCTCGTCTAGAGTTTTCTAATGATAACAAAATTCCAATGAATAGAGTAAATTTTAAAGT